TAGAGGCACATTAGGATATGAAATGGTATTTCACTGTGGCTTTGATTTGCATTTCCCTAATAACTAAGGATGTTGACCTTTTTTGTGTTATGTGCCTAATGGCCATTTTCTATATCTTCTTTAAAGAAATTCCTATTCAAATAATTTGCCCACTTTTTAATAGTTTGTCTTATTTTTATTACATTATAAGAGTTACTTTATGTATTCTGGATACTGAACCCTTATCAAATTGCAAATACTTGCTCCCATTCTGTGGGGTGTCTTTTTGCTTCCTTGATGGTGCTGTTTAAAGAACAAAACTTTTACATTTTTATAAAATCCAATTTATCCATTTTTTAATTTTTAAAAATATTTTCAACACTTCTGTACATTTAAAACTACTTTCAAATTTAAAAAAACTATGCATAAAACTTTATGTAAAAAGTTTAGAAAGCTATGCATTAAGCTACCAACAGGAAATAGAAATGAAATTTTCATTTGCTATTCAACACAAATGTTTTCCTTTTTCTGATTAAACAAGTGATGCAAATTCTCTGAGGAAATTTTGGAAGTTAACATCTTAAGTAAAGTCACCACCCAGAGATAACCATCATTGTAATTCAGATTTATAGTCTTAAAGGAATAAATAAACATTTATAAAAATTTAGGGTCATTTGTTCTATGAGGGCACAGCCAGGTAAACCAAGTGGCCATGGATGACCAACAGGAACTAAACAAGGAGCCATTGGGGGCGGGGAGGCGCTTACCCAGGCTCTGCTTTGGGGGAAGGGGTGGCCCGGAGTGAAGGAATGCGACAGGGCAGGGATGGAACCGCTGGCAGTAAGCCAGGCGGACGGTACTGGTTCTGAGGGGCCTGGTGACAGTGGATGCATGTGATCCTCGTAGAACACAGGGCATCCTCGCAGCGTGTCAGGCAAGGACGCGTCAAGATAAGACTCACATTTGAGCGGCAGTTCATGAAGTTGTGTGTAGAGAGAGGAATGAGAATGGACGCCAGTGACCTGTCTGGGGCCCACGGGAATGTCTGATGCATTTTATGTTCCGAGTGCGCACACGCAGTGTCCACGTGTCCTGCTTGGCCAGAGACAGGCTCGGATGACACCTCTGTCCTAATTATACTGCACCTCGGCTCAGTCTCCAAGGCGTCTCAGTTGGAGGGTGAATATCTATACACGCACAACAAAATCTACACAATCCTTACCAAGTGAGACGCACTGATACTCTGTATTCTATTTTATTGTTTTTCTGCTGATTGCAACCCGTTAAACTTACTTTGTGGCACCCGAATTGTTCCTCGCCCAGTTTCAAACGCTCGGTCCTGGGTGCCGGCAGGTCTCGGGAAAGGGAAAGGATGTGCGCGGTGTGAGGCCGCGTCAAAACCGCCGCGCAGACCTGGGAGCGCACATCGCAGCCCCGCTGCGCCCGCGGCCGTGCCGTGTGTCCCGCGGCGAGGGCGGTGAACACCTCCACCCGCACCTGACAGGGCGGCAATACTTACAGCCACGTTCCAAGCGGGACGAGAGCCACTACGCCGCAGCCGGGAGGGCGCCCGGAAGCCGGACGGGGCCGCGCGCCGGGGCTGCGCGCTCGCTGCTGACCTAGAGCGCCCCCTCCCGGCGGCCTCCGGACCCCGCGCCACTCGCTCCCCGCGCGCCTCCGGACGCGGCCCACAGTGCCCCCGGACGCGGCCCACAGTGCCCCGCGGCGCGCATGCGCAGGCGGCCGTTCCCCTAGCGGCGCTGCGCGGCGGCGGAGCCGGCAGCCGGCAGCCTCTGGCCGCCCTGGACCGGCAGCAGCCTGGAAGCGGATCAAGAAGGTAAGGAGCCCTTTGGTCCTCGGGCTCCTTGCGAGTCCCCAGCGTCCACTCGCCCGCGGGTCGTTGGCCCGAGTGGACGCGGTCGGAGGGGCACCGAGCGCGGCGACACCTGCCCGGAGGGAGTCGAACCGCCGCCGGAACGGCGCGCGCAGGCCGGGCCGGTACCGCCGTTGGTGCGAGCGCCCCGGACGCCTGGATGGCGGTTGGACCCGCTCAGGGCACGTACAGTACCAACCAGTAGCGCACAAATCAGCGGACGACAAATCCACGTTTCCTTCCCTCTCCTCTCTTTCTCCATCAATAAATTTAATTTTAAAGTTTGAGGGTGGGGCACGGCGCGTGGGGCCGAACCGAACGAGGCCGGCCCGCACCTGCTGCCCCGCCCCCGCGCCACCGCCAGCGCCTGTTAGGGACGCGGGAGCGTGCGGGCTTGTTTTTCTGAAATCACATTGTTCTTCCTTTAAATCCCGGTGAGCAGTTGACGCTCCTCGATGCTGTTGGACTCCCTGCATCAAGACTCGCGGTCTTGCGCTGGCTGGTTGCTCAGTGGATAGAGCCTCGGCCTGCGGACTAGGGTCCCGGGTTCGATTCCGGCCAAGGGCACATGCTCGCCCCCAGTAGGGGGCCTGCAGGAGGCAGCCAATCAATGATTCTCTCTCATCATTGATGTTTCCATCTCTCTCCCTCTCCCTTCCTGAAATCAACACATTAAAGAAAAAAAAAGACAAGACTCGCGGTCTTTGAAGAAACATTAGGTCCCAGTAACCGTTTCCCACGCCCCAGAGAAGGGCGGCGTTCTGGGGGAACGGGGAGCCGGGCCTGCGCTCGGCCCTTCTGGTCTCTCCAGGGTTGTCCTGACCGCCCTTCTCTCTCCGTGGCCGTGGCCGTGGCCGTGGTGGTGGGGCTGCTGAGCGTAGGCGTGGGCAGGAGGACCTGTTTGGGAGGTTTCGGTGGCCCCACTGCATCTCCAAGGTGCCTTCCGTCCTGTCCCGTTTGGGAGGTTTCGGTGGCCCCACTGCATCTCCAAGGTGCCTTCCGTCCTGTCCCCTGTTTGGGAGGTTTCGGTGGCCCGCCTTCCCTGCTGTACTGTGGCCTTAGTTGTTGCCCACGTTCATTTCTGCTTTGTCACTTACTGTGAGCTTACCGAGGGCAGCTCACGTGGGCACTGTAGGAAGCTGCGGGGTGTTTACAACCAATGCTTTGGGATGAAATGTGGCCGGATGTGGAGTGCTTGCTGGCCGCTGTGGTGTCAACACTGCTCCGTGGCCAGTATTCGAGGGGAGGAGGAGTAGGCACAGGTGGCGTGAGAGCCAGAGTGGGGAGTGGGGGAAACTAGAATGGTCAGCATGCCCCAGACAGCGGGGGTCAGGCGGGTCTTGGTGCCTGGCTCGTTTTCAGGCTTGTTCAGGTAGGAGGAGTGTCGCCAGCCAGGTGTGAGCTTTGTGCATGTTCTCCAGACCCGGGGAGTGCCCCTGCCACCTGCTGGACCTTGGTCTGTGCCTTCTTCCTGGGCTTTAGAGCCTCCCTGGAACTCCGAGGTTGGCCCAGATCTGGAACCTGGGAGGATGGAGATGAAGACACATGCAGGGACATGCAAACTCACTTTTAGAGCCACCGTCCGAAAGCTTGGGCTTTGATGCTCGTGCTGTGCCAGGAAAACCAGGGGATTGTGAGTCGAGCTGTAGTAACTCCCGTTCCTCTGCAGGTACACAGGCGGCTGCATCAGTCATCGTGGCCTTACTCTCACACCCCATGGTGGGTCAGGTGGGAGGGGAGCAAAATGGAAGTGCAGGAGCCCTGTCCTTCCTCTGGGCTGAAGGCTTCCATGCATTAACTCTGGAGCTCAGAGCTAAAACCCTGTCTTCACCTGCGTGTGAGCGAGGGTAGGCTTGAGGGTGAGGCACACTCACACAGAACTCCTTGCCCTGCCCTCTCAGCTCGGTGATCTTGGGCAGGCAGCTTAACCTCTTCACATTTCAGTTTCCCAACTTACAAAATGGAAATGCTGACACACACTAACAGGTGTCTTCACAACCACAAGCAGACCTTCCGGTCTCTTGTTTCCATTGCCAGGCCAATTGCTCCTGAGGCCTGGAAGCCCTCCCCCGGAGGATGCACGTCTGGCCAAGGGGTGTGGGTGCAGAGCAGCCTCCGGCACACAGCTCTGAGCCGCTCCTTGTGTTCTAGGAATTGAGTGACCTGCAGAGGGATCCTCCTGCCCAGTGGTCTGCAAGACCTGTGGGAGACGACTGTGAGTATTCTCTTCCAGGCTCCAGGTCACAGGGGCCTTGCCATCAAGACCCCGAAATTTACTAGCCCAGCTGTTTCCTAAGAAAACTCGCTGTTTTCCCTCATTTGCTCGTGAACTGCTTTTTCATTAGATGCATTGTGTTCATAGCCTGGCTGATGAGGATGGTGCCTGACGTCACCACCCCTCCACCGGGGCACCTGCAAGCACATTGGCTTCTGGAAAGTGCCTCTGACCAACGAAGACGTGGGTGGTTGGTGTGAAGTGGGCATGAAAGCGGTGGTGCTGCTGCACGTGGGGCACCTGGCCTCTGCCAAGGGCGGGGTGGGCAGGAGGGCCTGTGCTTTCCCCACTCTGGTCCTCCCCGGGGAGCAGCAGGCAGCCCTCGGCTCCTCTACAGTTGACCGGCCGAGGCCCAGCTGCCCAGCTCATGGGCCCCCAAGTACATGTTCTGCTCCCACCTCACCTCCACTCTCACTCATCATGACTATGAGATGGTGTCAAAGAGGGGGTGTCCTGCACAGACACCAAAGAACTGAAAACAGGGACTCCACCAGAACTCGAAGGCCCAAGTGCCCAGCGACAGGTGAAGGGGTGAGTAGAGTGTGGTGTCCACACAGCAGCGTGTGGTTAGCCACAGAGGAAAGGAGTTTTGACTTGTGCTGTAAGACGGATGAGCCTTGAGAGCATGCACGGTCACATAAGCCTTACACAAAAGGGCTAACGTGTGGTCCCGGTTGGGGAAATACCTAGAGTAGGCAAGTGCCTGGGACCAAAAGTGGAGGGAGCTCATGGAAGTGGAGAGAGGCAGAAACGGTGCAGGAATTCTGTTTGGAATCATGAAAGATGTGTCAGAATGGGCAATGGTGGCTGGGCAACACTGATACACTTAATACCGCTGAACTTCTCACTTAAAGTGGCTAAGATGACATTTTACGTGTTTTGTTTTGTTTTTATTGTGTGAAAATGCACATCACGTTTACCATCTTAACCACCTTTAAGTACACAGTTCAGTAGTGTCAAATACATCCACACCGCCAGGCAGCCACCGTCACTACCCATCCTGGTAACTCTGTCTGTCACCAGTGTGTTACACATGTTACTGCAATAAAGAAGAAAGCGTAACCTCACCAAGCTGGCAGGAGAGAGGCGGTGGGCCACAGGCACGTGCTCTGGGCTGCAGCACTGAGAGTGGGTGTGCGAAGTCGCCTGTGAGTCTGCTGAACAGGGCGGCTGTGGTGCCGCCGTTTCCTGGTCCTGCTTGGCACCTGCCCCGTGCGCTCTCTCCAAGCATCCAGGTCTCCGTAGCATAGTTTCCCATGTTACCTGTCACAACAATGCACACGAGGGAGGCTGGTAAGATGGAGCTGGTCCTGACTCAGCCCAGCTCCCTGGTGGCACGCTCACCTTCACGGCAGACCCGTGCCGGAGGCAGCGTCGTTGCTGGAGGGCGGCCTAGTCCCCCTCCCTGCTCAGCACCTCCCGGCTGAGGCATATACAACCTTGGACACACCTAAGCTTTTGGGCTATTCCATGCCTCCCCTTTCCAGCAGTCCCTGCAGTTTCCTTTCTCTTCCTCTATTTTGGGGCCTTCTCTTCTCACCGGGCCCCAAGCCCTGTGCAGCCCCCTCAGCCCTCAAAGGTCCCAGAAGGAACCACTTTCACTCTCTACTTCTCCCCATGGGCTCCCAGTCCCTCGTGTTACTTATCAAAAACATTTAATAAGGAATTCCGTTCTACAGTATTAGGAAAGGTATATCCACCTGCCAACCACAGCTAGTAATTAGCACGAGTTGGCATAAAACCAGTCAAAAGCAAAAGAAGCGACACTTCGGTCGGCTCGGGCAGCCTTGTTACAGGTGAAGTGTGCTCTTTGTACCAGTTCCTGGAAGTATTGAAAAGGTCCTGGGTGGCCGTGACTCCTTTGGCACCTATAGGGTCTGGAAAACCTCCCTTCAGTCCCTGCACCTGCCCCTCCGTGTGCCTTGATGATTTCCTGTTCTGCTTTCAAGGGAGCGTGGGGGGGGGGCGGGGGGGGTATTTGAACAGGTGGCAGGAACCCAGCACGTCTGAAACTCTGGGTTCATTCCCACCACCCTGGCTGCACATGAGAATCACCTGGAAATCTTTTTAAAATCTCAACCTTGGCTGCACATGAGAATCATTCTGTTTCTTTGTTACTCATGTTGTGGCCTCACCCCAAAACAAAAAAACAGAATTTCCGGAGGATGAGGCCCAGAAATCAGGATTTTAAAAAGATTCCCAGGTGATTCTCATGTGCAGCCAAGGCTGAGAACCACTGCCCTAGAGAGTGACACATCCCTCCAGTGGTCTCAGTAGCCCACTTGGTGGTCGGGATGTTCCACAAAGATGAGTCACTGCCCTGGGAGCCTGGAGGTGAGTCATTGCCCCCCCCCACCCCCCCGCCCCCAGGCCAGCCTTGCCGAGTGCTCTGGAGCTTCTCTGGGACTGAGATGCAGAGAGAGCACCAGGCATGATGTCACCGAATCCCCAGAGCGTGGGCAGTGCCAGGGCGATGTGGGAGAGACACCGTGGAGGGTGGCCCCATAGAGGTTCCAGAGCCAAGGGCATGGCTCCTGAGAGACCCTTGGCAGAGGGCTTCAGAATGACCCTGGGAAGGAGGGAGCGGAAGCGATTTATAAAAAGGAAGATGGGAAATGGCTGAAGCCTTAATTCTGTGCAAAGAGGAGAGGGAACCGTTGGTGTAAAGAATTTAGTTCTGTCCAAGATCTGCCTTTGTCCGCAGCCTCGGGAGGTGATCTCTGCGATTTCCTGCTGTTGGACAGTCCCTGCCTACCTGAGGCTTTGACCCACCGACAGTGTGACTCAGGGTGGGGCTGGCCACATCGAGAGACGGGCCACGTGGGGCTGTGGGTCCTGGCAGAGGGACTGGACCCTCAGATCAGCCATGTGGGAGTCCATTTGTCAGTCTTGGTCACTGATGAGCCTCCCTGGTGATAACCACTAACTGTGAGCCAGATCTCCTGGGAGTCTGGGGGCCCCTGGATGGAGTAGACATTTGGTGGGGGGTCTCTGACATCCTCCTGTTTGTCTTGCAGGGTTCTGCTGGCAGGCCACCATCACCGGCCCGGTAGGTAGTTGCCGCTGAGCGCCACCCCTGCGCTTCCTCCCTGGCCGCATGCTTCTGTGCGCATTAACTGCCTGTCTCATCTTCCAGAATGACAGTCCTTACCAAGGAGGCATTTTCTTCCTGAACATCCACTTTCCCACAGATTATCCATTCAAACCCCCAAAGGTGAGGACGGCTCAGAGTGTGATGAAGGGGCCCTTCTAGTCAGTGGTGCAGCAAGCTGCACCATCACAGCCCAAACTTGAAACCCTGGAGCCATCGGGGACGGTGCTCTGCCTGATTGTAGCTGCACCTGGCCCTTCTTTGCCGTCCCTCTCACTCTCGGCCAGGAGCCCTCAGCCCTGCCCCAGGGGCATTGGACACTGTCCTGGGATGTTTGGGCTGTAAAAACAGGACAGGCGGGGGAGGGGGATTGCTACTGGTTTCTGGAGGGGGAGCCCAGGAATGTTGCTCATAACCTATGGCAGCAGTTCTCAACCTGTGGGTCGCGACCCCTTTGGGGGTCGAACGACCCTTTCACAGGGGTCGCCTAAATACATCCTGCATATCAGATATTTACATTACGATTCATAACAGTAGCAACATTACAGTTATGAAGTAGCAACGAAAATAATTTTATGGTTGGGGGTCGCCACAACATGAGGAACTGTATTAAAGGGTCACGGCATTAGGAAGGTTGAGAACCACTGCCCTATGGGCTCAGGACCTGAGTGTCAGTGGGCCTGGCAGTCACCTCCCTGCACACACACCATCCCAGCCATGGGGCCTCACAGGGAGGACAGCACCACCAAATGGAGGGAGAAGGCGGGAGGGGCCTGCTCCACACCCTGGCCCAGCAGGGCTGCCCATTACTCACCAGGTGCCAAAGGCCTAGGGCAGAGCCCAACCCAGAGGAGCCCTGCCTCTTACGGAACAGTCCTGTCTGGTGGCCGAGCGCCAAGAAACACAGAGTGGCAGGGAGGGTGGCAGCGGGCTCATTTTGAGCAGGTCAGGGGCCCAGGGTGGGGAGGAGGCCAGAGGAGCCCAAGGACCTGTAGCAGTGGGGTGGAGGCCACAGCAGTGGGCACATGGGGCTGGAGAGAAGAAGTGCATTTTGAGTGCTCACGGTGGAGCCAAGAGGACAGGCACAGGTCAGGGGCGGTCACAGCAATGTATGTGGGTCCACATTTTAGATTATTTTTCTGACTGTACAACTGGTAGACTGATTATTTTAAAATTAGAACCTTGCCGAAACCGGTTTGGCTCAGTGGATAGAGCGTCGGCCTGCGGACTGAAAGGTCCCGGGTTCGATTCCGGTCAAGGGCATGTACCTGGGTTGCAGGCACATCCCTAGGAGGAGATGTGCAGGAGGCAGCTGATCGATGTTCCTCTTTCCTCGATGTTTCTAACTCTCTATCCCTCTCCCTTCCTCTCTGTAAAAAATCAATAAAATATATTTAAAAAAAAAAAATAAAATTAGAACCTTGGTGCCATAGCCGGTTTGGCTCAGTGGATAGAGCATCAGTTCGAAGACTGAAGGGTTCCAGGCTTGATTCTGGTCAAGGGCACATACCTTGGTTGCAGGCTCGATCCCCAGCCCTGGTCAGGGCATGTGCGGGAGGCAACCAGTCCATCTTTCTCACATCAATGTCTGTCTGTCTGTCTCTCTCCCTCTCCCCCCTCCCCTCCCCTCCCTCTCTAAAAATCAATAAAAACATATCTTCCGGTGAGGATGAAAAGAACCGGTGCCTAAGCCCATTACTTAGGACACTTCCAGTGCGGCTGCCGCCCTTGTCCCTCCTCAGAGCCCACTCACTGCTTTAGGGAAGTGGGTCAGGCCCCATGTTCAGAATGAATGGGTCAGGGGACTTCCCTCAGCTGTCCCACCCGAGTCCCGTCGGGGTTCAGGGTAGGGGCCCAGCTCATCTAGGCCTGTGGAGCCAGCAGCAGCCTCTTCCGCCTCCCTCGGTCCCTTTTCCAGAGACGCTGTCTAGAGCGCCCCTGTTGCCTGTCTCACTTGAGATCTCTTGTCTCTTCAGGTGGCTTTCACGACCAAAATTTACCACCCCAACATCCACAGCAACGGCAGCATCTGTCTCGACGTCCTGCAGTCCCACTGGTCTCCATCACTGACAGTGTCTGAAGGTAGCCTCACAGCAGCCCTTCTGCCCCCGCATCCCTGGGTGGAGACTGAGGCTCAGAGACAGCAGACAGCTTCCCACAGCTCCTGGGGGAGGAATTGGGAGACGCTGTTCCCACCCCAACCGAGTCCACAGGGTTCGGTTGCCTACATGGGGTTATAGAGACCAATCTAAAGGGGGCTTCAGAAATGCAGCTATTCCTTCTGAACCTGAATGTAAACGATGTGAGTGTCTTGTCAGTGGAGTGGGTGGGATGGTAAAAAAATCAGCCAGAGGGAAACAGGGTCCCAGAGCCCAAGAAATGAGCAGAGGGGAGTGTGAGGCGAAGCAGGCAGCAGAGCCTGACAGGCAGCTGCGGGGAGGGGGTGGGGGCACGGGCAGCTGGCGGGCCAGGTTTTCAAAGGCTGCACGGTGAATACAGAGGGAAAGCTGCCCACCCCCCCCCCCCCCATTCCAGAGTTTTCCGAGTTCCATATCCTGATGAGGAAACAGGCCCCTGGGAATACACACCAAAGGTGTGTGGCAGCTGCGGCCTCCCTGGAGCAGCTGTGTCTGGGCCAGCTCGGTTCAGCTGATAGATGAGCAAAGCAAATCCTTTCATGACTTTCGGGGTGTCAAGCAGAATAATTCAGACAGAAGAGAGCTTGAGTTGGGGGGCTCACCAGAGCCAGGCAACCAGGCAGCCTCAAGGCTGACCCAGCTCTTCTTCTCTTCCCAGTGCTCTTGTCCATCTGCTCCCTGCTCTGCGAGCCCAACCCTGACGACCCTCTGGTGCCAGAGATAGCTCACACCTACAAGGCCAACCGAGAGAAGTACGCGTCCTCTTCGGGCTCCTTCGAGCCCCAGTGGTACCCACCCTGATCTGGTGCCTCCTGGCGGACGAGGTTCCCTCAGACATCTTCCTGCCCTGCCCAGGCCGTGCGAGGCTGCAGGGGTGACTCTCTCATGAACATCCCCTTTGTCTCTGAGAAAAGGGAGGAGATAAGAGCAGTTCACCCTCCTTGGTAGTTCATCAGCTGCTGCCACAAAACCCTAAACTCTTGTTGCCCAGCCTGTCCTTAAGGTCAGCAGAGTCATGGTCAGCCAAGAATGGG